TCTGCGGCGCTCCAGGAGAAGAGGTCGGCGTTCTCGCGGAGGCAGGCCTGTAGCTGTTTCTTCGCTAAGTCTGGGAGTCCGGCTCCGATCTTCACGGTTCTGCTCTTGTCTTCCCCGAGTGTCACGATCTCAAATTCACCGTCTGGGATGGGGCGTGTTGGGTGGGTGGGTTTCCCGTTGGACTGGTTTGCTTCGCTGGTCTTTATTTCGTGACCGTGCTCTTCGGTGAAGCGGCTGTCGAGGTCCATGGATCCGACGAGCTCCTTTGGTTCGCTCTTCGGCGTCACGGTTGGGGTTTCCTTCTTAGTTGCTGGAGCGATGGTGCTCAAACCTTTCAGCGCGGCCTCAAAGCACCTCCGGGCGGCCTCGATGTCCCCGTTCAGGGTCACCACGGTCCCCCGCCTCGTGTAGTACTTCATCTTTAGGTGGACGGTGGAAGGCACTGCGGTAAGTTCTGCCATCGTTGTTTTGCCCAGGATACAGTTGTAGAGGGACGGACACTCGATGACTAAGAAACGGATGCTGATCTCCCTGGCCGTTTCCTCTTCCCCGAACGTGACTTTCAGCTCCACGTATCCCCAAGGTCTCTTCGTCGTCCCGTTGAACCCCTGGAGGTCGGAGCCTACGTAAGAGGATAGGTTGGATTCGTCAAGTTGGAGGGTCGTGAAGAGGTGGGTGTACATGATGTCCACCGAGCTGCCTCCGTCGACGAGGATGCGTCTGACGTCGAAGTTCGCCATCTGCGCCCGTATCAGCAGGGGAATGTTGGAGTTGAGGGAGCCCCCGGGAAGTTCCTCGAGGTAGAATGTGATCGGGTTGGATCGGCCGCGAAATTTTTCGAGCGTGCTCATCTTACTGGAGTTGCCTGTGATAAGCTCTTCGAATTTTCTCTTCACCGATCCTACGGACAGGCTTCTCGTGGAGCCGCCAGAGATGACCACGGCTCTAGCAAAGTATTCCCATCGACTGGTGGGCCGGACCGGCTCGACGGGCAGGTCGGGGCCGTCGGGGAGGCCGAACTCTCTATCCGCGAACCAGTCCTCGGGGCGGCTGACGCATAGCGCGATCTGGAGTCTGTTTTCGCCGTCTGAAGAGGGGAGCTCTTCGAATTTCTTGGCCTCAGGGCTTCTTGCCTCAGGGCCTCCCCCTCGGGTGTATCTCTTTAGGTGGCCGTCCTTAATCAGGATTTCGATAGCGTCCTTGAGATGGATGCATTCTTCCGTCACGTGCCCGTGGCTCCTATGGAAACAACAGTATTTCGATTTGTCCATGTTAGGTTTGGGGGGTGTCGGCCTGGGGAAGCGGACACCTCCCTGGGCGAATTCGGTTTTGGCGCACTCGGCCAGTATGCGCTTGCGGGAAGCGACTAAGGCTGTGTACTCCGTGAATCGGCCGGCGGGGCCGCGCTGCTCGCGTTGTTCGCATGGGAGATTCTCCCAACGGCGGTCACCTCCATGCCGGTAGCTTGAGGTTCCATCATCTCGGTGCCCGTGGGGGGCCTCCCTGTCTCGAGTGTCTCGGGCGGAGTCGGCTGCTTGGGTTTTCTCGAACCGGATATAATGTGCGGCTCTATCGAGGAAATCCTGCAAGGAAGCTAGTCGGTGTATGCCCACGGCCTCGTAGAACTTGGAGTCGCGGCGTAGACCCTACTCCATTAGGTAACGCTTCATCTCGTCTGACGTCGTTACGTGTACTGCCTCCCATGTGAATCTTTCGATGTACTTTCGGAGAGGCTCGTCGGGGGCTTGGATTATCGCGCCGAGGGCGGCTTCCGTCTTCGGGTGGCGTCGGGACGCTGTGAAGTGTTTTGAAAACAGATCCTTCAGGACCCGCCACGACGTAATCAATTCGGGCTCCAGACTCTTGTACCATGTCATGGCGCCTTTCCTCAGGGTCGTCGAGAATAGCCTGCACTTGATAGCTCCTCAGACGTTTCGGTAGTCGAGCATGGCCTCAATGTCTTCCAGGTGATCGTCTGGGTCAGAGGTACCGTCGTATGTCGAGAGCGTCGGGGGATTCTCCATCCCATGGGGGATGAGGGCGGCCATGATTTCCCGGGACAAAGGAGTCCTGTAGTCGTCTTCGCCGCTGAGAGCGGGCGATCGAGGGGGAGACAGGCCATTTGTTATAGGCACCTAGTTTCGGGTCCTCGGTCTCCTAACCGAGGGTTCGACGCGTGGAGGCCTGGTCGAGAGTGCTGCCCCATTCTGCCGTCTCCCGTGAACTTGCCTCGTCGGGGACCTTGTCCGCTCCCGCACTACTTCCGTTCGGGGCCTCTCCAGCTGAGGTCGTCGACTTCTGGGTTGAGGCGAGGGGCTCCTCGAGTTCCCATTCTGGTCTTCCCGCGGAGGGGACCTTGGAGGGACCTTAGGCTCTAGCGCGCCAATCCATGCATTCTGCTGAAACAATAGCTGGTTCGTCTGGTTGATGGCCGCGAAGACGGAGGCCACCATTGGGTCCGCTCCAGCCGGTACGGGAACAGGTTGGAACGCCGTTGGGCTTTGGGACCGATGGTCGGCCTGGTGTGTCGGCTCTGCGGACGAAGGAGATGCAGTCTGGCCATCTCTTTCGTCGGTCTCTGCTGGCCGGGAAGTCTCCGTTGGCTTTCCGCCGTTCGCCGGAGGGTTGAGCATGAAGTCGTGCACGGTATCGTCGTGGTGTGGGCTAGCCATGATCGTGGAGTGTTGGTGAAACTTTGGTTCTCTGCTCGGAGTAACGGGGAAGTTTATGTTCCCACAGACGGCGCCACTGATCTGACCTAATCAGAAGGGGATCACGGGCTGGCCACGTTCTGTTAGACCGCTACTTGTTCACCGGTGATGAGGAGGAGAAGGGGGTGTACCTGCAAGACACTCCGATGCCAAAGTAAGGAATTGGGCATCGTGAGAGAAAAGTACAGAAATGGGGTAAGAAGTGAATTACCTGACCCTCTTGAGGAAGAGGGTATTTATAGAGAGACCCCAGCGTTGGGCCAACGGTCACTTGTGTTGGGCTGGATGACCATGCCCAACCCAGGTGACTGCTAGGGCTTACGTGGCGTAGTGAAGACCAGGACGTGGTCTTCGCCCTAGTCCAACTGTCCCGTGGTTTCCGGAAAGTGGGTTTGACCTGCTCTTTCGGAGGTGGGCAGTTGGGGGATGACGTGTCCCCGCGGAGAGGAGCACGTGGAGAACGTGTGGAGGACACGTTGTTCTGCCCGCAGAGGGGGCTCGCGAGGTTCCCCGAGAGCACATTGTTCTCCCTGCGGAGGAGAGCACACGAGGGCGGGGGAGACATATCGTCCTGCTCGTTGGTATGAGGATTCTATCCGTGGAGGGTTGTTCTGCCCGACTAAGGGAGAGCGCCGAGGGCGTTTAGAGGCACGCCGTCCTGTTCGGCGGGAGCATGCCCTGCCCGTCGAGGGGGTCGCGTGCCCGACCAGCCTACTCAAATCATATTGGGCCTTGGCTGTGCGTTATTGGGCTGGGCCGCGAGGTGAGTCTGGGCCCAGGCCAGAACAATAAGATTATTTATTTGGTTGTTGTTGTATAAAAATAAAATACTTTTTTTAATGTGTTATTTTTATTAAAAACATAATATATATATTATATTTTAGTAAACAGAATTGTAAAAAATAATTTAAAAAAAAAAAACAGATTTTTAAAAATAATGAATATATATTATATTTTAAATGTGTTATTTTTAGTAAACACATTATATGTTATATTTTAGAATAATATATTTTAGAATATGTATTATCTTTTAGTAAACAAAATATATATTATATTTTAGAAAAAATAGAATTTTTAAAAATATTTTTAGTAAACAGAATTGTAAATAGAAGAAGTTAAAAAGTTTTTTTTATAAATATATAATGTTATGTAGATTAGAAACAGAATTGTAAATATTTTTAGAAAAGTATTTAGTAAATAGAAGTATTTTATTAAAAAGTATTTTTTTTTTTAAAATTACTTGTAAAAAAAGTATATAACTAATATGGAAAATTTTTATTAATATGTTATGTAGGTTTATTAAATACACAATTTATAAAACAAATTTATTTTAAAAAATAGAATTTAAAACAAAAATAATTCGTAAAATGTATAATATTAAAAAAAATAGAAAAAAAATTACTTCAAAAATAATTAATATTAATTTATTTTTATTAGGTTAAAATGTATAATTAGATTTTATATTTTTATATTTGTATTTATATTTTCATATTTTTATAGTAAGAAAATATTTTTAAAACAACGTTACAAAATGTTGAGTATAATTAGATGTTGTTGTATAATATGAAGTAATATTGAAGTAATATTTTTATTTATATTAGGTTAAAACAATGTGAAAAGAATTATATTATTTTGCATATATTAAAATCACATATTTAATTAAAATGATATATAATGATAGTACAAATGTGTAGTATGAAATATTTTCGTTACTATCATAGTTGGATGTACTATAGAACGTTACCAGGCAGACATGGACTTACACCAAATTTTGAGTAAGGAGTTAAAGGGTTTATCACGTGTGCATTTGCTCAAGAATGTTGTCGACGTGAAGGAGGAGTAAGATGTCATTGTCTTAAATGTGAATGTAGGCCTATAATTAGTGACCCAGAGGAAGTAGAACGCCATTTGAAGAGCAAGGGTTTCATTAAAAATTATTGGGTTTGGACATATAATGGAGAACAACTGTCGAGTAACGTACATGCAGAGACAACTAATACACACACATCAAGCAGTCGATCACATATGGAATTTGAGGAACAATTTAATCTGATCAATGATATGGTTGACAATGCCTTTGGAATAAATGTGACATATGATGAACCTCAAGATTTTGATGGGGAAGAGTTGCCGAATGAGGAAGCACAAAGATTTTACCAATTGTTGAAAGAAATGAATACATCGTTGTTTGAGGGGTTGGCAGATTCAAATTTATCAATGTGTGTGAGATTATTGGCCGCAGAGTCAAATTAGAATGTTCCTGATCAGTGCTTGAAATACTTTGCAAAAATGGTGTTGGATGCGACTCCTACGAAAGACAACTTGCCTACAAGTTATTATGATGCAAAGAGGTTGGTGTTGAAGTTGGGTTTAAAAGTACGAAAGTTTGATTGTTGCATGAATGGATGCATGTTGTTTTATGACAATGAGTTTGGTGTTAATGATGAGGCGCTGGAGGAATATAAGTTTTGTAAGAGTCTGAAATATCTAGTTTGTAGTAAAGCCATTAACCGTAAACAAGAACGTGTATCAATGAAGTCCATGTTTTATTCGCCGATAATACCAAGGTTAAAAAGATTGTTTGCTTCAATGCACAGTGTAAGTGAAATGGCATGGCATCATACAAACATAACAAGTTCAGACATTATGCGACATCCATCTGATGGTGAGGTATGGAAACATTTGTATAAGGTACATTCTGATTTTGCTGCAGACCCTAGAAGTGTCAGGCTTGGACTATGCTCTAATGGTTTTACTTCATATGTCCAAGCATCCGCAATTGCATATTCCTGTTGGCTAGTTATTGTAACCCTTTACAACCTCCCTCCAGAGATGTGCATAACAAAACCATGCATGTTTTTAACTTGCCTCATTCCAGGACCATCAAGTCCTAAAGCCGGAATCGATGTTTATTTACAACCTTTTATAGATGATTTTAAGAGGTTGTGGATTGGAGAATGGACTTATGATATATCTCGCAAACAAAACTTTACTTTGCGAGCTGCCTTGATGTGGACTATTAATGACTTTCCCGCTTATAGAATGTTATTTGGTTGGGGTACGCATGGTAAAATGGGATGTCCATATTGCATGGAATTTACAAAGGCTTTTACTTTGGAATTTGGGGGGAAAAGTTCGAGGTTCGTCTGTCACCGCAGATTCCTACCACGAGACCATGTCTTTAGAAGAAACAAGACTGATTTCAAAAAAGATGTACGAGTAAAAGATTTGCCTCCTCCCCGATTGTCACCATAGGAAATATGAAATCGAGTTTCTGAACTGCCAAAATTCACAGATTATGGTGAAGCATGCAAAATTCAAGGATATGGGGTCAAACACAATTGGATAAAAAGAAGTATATTTTGGAACCTCCTATATTAGAAAGATAATTTATCGCGACATAATCTTGATGTTATGCATATTTGGTTCTACTGCGAAAAAAGAGGCCGGCAATGACTAACAGAGTCGCCACCTATCATTATTTATCCCAGAGAAGGGAAAGGAAATGATCGGAAAAACCTGACGAAAACGGGAAAAGACGAGGTCATCGCAACCAAGTCCTAGGTTCGGGAGTCGGTTACGCAAGGGGAAGGTATGAGCACCCCTCACGTCCGTCGTACTCGACGGGATCCACGCATGTGTTGTCTAGCTAAAAGGACGTGTAAACTATCTACGCTAAAGGCTTAAGTACAAAATAGAAAGAAAAAGAACTGACTCGGCAGAGCATCGCCGCTCTGTGCCTACGTACTCCCTCGTGCAATGGGAAAGTCAGAGTCAACGTAGTTCGCCTAACTACGGCTAAAGAAGGGGGGGAAGGTTGCTCGCCAAGACATCGCGTCTTGTGCCTACGTACTTTTGTCTGGTACGAAAGATTAGAGCAAACTTAGTTCGGGCTTACGAGAACACAAGCTGTTCAAAAGTTTTACCCAAGTAGGGTTAACAGACAGTTCTAGCAGTTGGTGTATGCAGCTCGACCTTTGGAGACTTAGGCGTTACCGTTTGCGATAGGACTGAAAGTTAACAACACTCTTGTTTATGAAAAGAGTTTTTATGATTAAGACCCCAAGGGGTGAAAAAGAGTTTGAATTGTTTTTGTGTTTTTTAAGGAAGAAGTGTTTTGAATTTGGTTTGCGACTCATGCTACACTAAAGACTATGATCTAGGAGCGAATGCTTCGTATATCGTCCGAAGGACATACACTAACATTCTAGATAATTGAGAGGCAACCACCCAATCATCATTTACCAAATGGCTTAAGGCTCGTAGCGTGCAACAATGGTCAAACTTTATTAAGTGGATTGAAGTTATTTGAAGATGAGAAGAGAAAGAGGACGAACTAAGGGGGACTAATCCAAACCCTAAAAGTTGTCATGCAATGTGCACCTAAAGTTGAGTTTGAAAGGGAACTACCTAATGTTGTCATACATGGTTAGAACCCTAATTTCTATCATAACCTCTCTTGAACAAGAGAGGTTAGAAATCCTAAGGGAAGGAAGACAAAAGAAGAAGAAACAACAAGAAGAAACAATGCAAATGTAAAATGCAAACACAAATGCAACAAGGAAGACAAAGATGCAATGCAAGTGAGGGAGGAAATATGTGTGGGGCTGGAACCTCCACAAGCTCATCTCAACCTCAAGCCATGGTATGAATAAGCACAAGAGAAAAGGAGAAGAAGATGCATAGAAAACAAGTAACAAAAACAATGATAAAAAAAAGTCCTCGTGGATTCATTACTTTAGGCAAGCTTCAGGTTCCTCCTGAGGAGGAACCAAGCAACCTTAAGTAGTATTCCAAGGTCATTGGACAGAATAGGGATGAGAATAAGATATCTCAAAAGCCAAAGCACAACATCATAAACAAATGCCAACAATACATCAAAGAATGCAAGCAAGCATCACTTATGGAAACACAATATGCAAACATGAAAGTATGATAACAAATGAACAACTTATGCATATGATAAAAACCCATGAATTAGCACACAAGACCTATAACAAGTCCCTAACATGAAACAATCAGAATTAGGTTCATCAATAATGCACAACCAAGCTTTTGGAAGGAAAACAAAACAGATGCAACAGCAAAGATGCACAAACATGAAGCAACTTGCAAAATACATGAAAAATAAGAAAATGCATCAAAAAATGAGAAATAAAATCTCAGAGGACCCCCAAGGTATCAGGAACCAGGGGTCAAAAGGGGAGATTGAAAAACAAAAGGGAAGTGCCTCAACAGAAGGCAAAGATAAAGAGTGTCCCAAAACAAGGTAGAAATGGAGAGGGAACAAAAACAAATCAAACCACATGGAAACAACACTTAAAAAATCATGGAAAAAATATCTGGAGATTAATCAACATGCCAACACAATGCTCAAAAAAAATTAGAAGTTTAATCCATACCATGAGCAAGAAATAAAATCAATAAGTCAGCACACATTTTTCACATTATTAAATGACCAATTAAAAGGAAAAGATGAAAATAAATGAAAAATGCATCAAAACACAAAATTAAAAATGCCCAAAATTAAAAGACATGTTAAAGTATGTTCATGATTTTTTTCAGAATTTTTAAACATTTTTTTGCTATTTTTTACGAATTTTTAAAGTGCAAACAAATAAAAGAAATAAATATAGAAAACAAGAATGCAGAAAAATTCACAACCATCAGATGTGCATACTGGTCAACAAATCCAACGCACCAGAACGTGTCACCTCAATTAATGAATTGAGGTTTTAATCCCATGCACACGAGCTAGAAAGGTCCACGGTACATCATGTTTGGACGCGCGAGATCCACACGGACACGATCAGACAGACAAGGGTGTGACACGCCACTCATCTTCAACCTTGGGATCTCCGGTCGCCGGAATTTCACTCTGGTCGTCTTCCCCACCATTCCGGCCGCCGCGATTTCCAACCCCCACCGTGCATCATCATCTCTCAACCATTTCTTACAATTCTTAGATGAAAAATCATCTACTCGAAACAAGGAATCCAAATCTTCCACTAAAACTCATTTATCTCCCACCATTAGAGAGAAAATCAAACAACAAGCAAGCATGCCAAAAAATGAAGTTCACCAAAACTTAAAATAAAAGGTTCAAACATCATCTACATGCTACAAGGAGTAAGAATCCATGAAAATTAAAGTAAAACACCATGAAAAAACATCAAAAAGAAACAATACAACTTTGAGCTCAAAAAACCAAATGTCATAAACACAAACAATAATGATCCAGAAATGATCTATACATCACAAAGGTTCAAATGCAACGAAAATGGTGAAAAATCATGGAGTATTAAGAGTGTAAGGTTGAATTCAAGTTACCTAGTGAAGAACTTCCACTGAGCCTTCAACAGGTGCTAAAGCTTGAAGAAAACGATCCAAACACGTCCAATGATCCATAATAAAGCTTTTGCAACCTTCAATTTGCCTTGAAATGGAGTAAATATAATTTGCCTTGAAATGGAGTAAATATGAGAAATCGAATTTTGAGTTTTCACCACTTTTTTGAAAACGAAAATGGTTGTTATGCAGCAAGAATGACATAGCTCTGCCTCAAAATTCATCTGGAATACTTATATGATGGATTTGCAATCAAATGGGGCCTTAATTCATGCAAAACAGTCCACTTCCAATTTTCACATTTCAACACTTTTTTGAAAATGCCATGCACGTTTTTACCACTACACCACTTGATTTTTTGATCCAAATCCACTACAAATCAGTTGTGTAAATTAAAGGAATGAGATTGGAGGTTTAATTTTGATCCTACGGTTGATTTTCATTTTGTTACTTCAAAGAGAAGAAACCATAAAAATGGCCCATTTTGAGACTTCAAATTTCCAATGTGAATATGGCAATGTCTTTGAATTGTTATTTGCAATAAAAAAATGCACAAACTTGCCTTGAAAAAGTTTAAAATCCATTAATTCTGAAATTCTCAATTTAAGCCTCCTATATGAAAAATTCAAACCCCAAATCCTCAATCCAAGCCCCCACCATGACAAGATATGGTTTGGTAGTGAAAATGTCCCCATTTGAAGCAAGTTTCATGTTGAAAAGATTTCCATTTGAAGTGCGCAAGTTGGTGAAATCGACCTATAATTTTTTGACCCATAATCTTACTTTCCCAAAATACCCCTGACTTGTAAACCTCATAACTTGAGTTCTACAAATCATATGAAATACTTCTAATACAATCTGGAAAGCTAAGATCAAGACCTACAACTTTCCTGTTGACCAAAAGTTGAGGAGAAACACCCTTCTAGGTCAAAACTGGCTTGGAAGTTGGTTGACTTTTGTTGACCAAAATCACATACCTCAAATGACCCGTAACTTGTCCGAATCATAACTTGAGTTCTATAAATCCAACCGAGGACTTCTAGTACTCAAATTAAAGATGATAACATTTTATACAAGTTCCATGTTGGCCAAAAATTGAGATGAGACTTTTATCTTGAGGTAGGTGGTCTTGAAGTCAGGCACTAAATAGGGGATTTTACCCTGAGAACCCTAACTTAGTAACTTCTCACACACTTAACCCTTGATGAATTGAACTTGAAATGATGTCTCATATGTCTTAAAACAACATCCCATGACCATAGAGACTTTGAATTGAGTTTCCATCTTCTTCAATTGCACAGTTGATTGAGGATTTACCAAATGAAAACCCTAACTGCGATACTTTCAACTGTGACTTGTTCCACTTCACACAACCACTTGCATAAGCTCCACATTGACCCTCAAGGCCCTCAATAGGCTTTCTTCACATCTCATAGCCATAACCATGGCTTCACAAACCTCTGATGCTCTTCAGTTGGCCTCCCAGTTAGGAGTTATCCCACACACATCCATCTGTCTTTTCATAATACACTGACCACTTCAAGATGTCCTGATGACCATCCAAGCTTGAGTAACAACCCCTGATTAGGCTCCATGCCCTGAGAAGACTCCTCTTGAGGTGCACAAACTCCTGATCCCCTGTTTAATGCGATATACTATGCAATGCAAATGCTAGAACAAAATGAAATGAAACATAAACCAAGTTAAGAAAAGGTTGAGCAAATTTTGGGGTGCAACAATATTGAAAAGGATTTCTTCGATAATATATTTAACACAGTGATGGATGTTCAAGGAAAAACAAAAGATAATGAGAAGGCTAGAAGGGACATGGAAATTTTGTGTGATAGAAAAAACTTGGAGTTGAAGCCTCGACCTAATGGAAAATTATTAAAACCTAAGGCTTGTTA